ATTTTTGAACAGATCTGCTTAATTCTGAACCGTTTTTGCAGCTGAATCAGCCAATTCATTACCATGAATATTCATATGAGCAGGAACTCAGTGCAGATGAATTATCAGCTTTGATGTTCTTCTCTTTTGAATTTTTAAAATGGAGTTTAAGATCAGTTCAAGATTCATTTGATCATTATAAATCTGACTATTTCTAAGTCTTTTTAAAGCAGCTTGACTATCAGAGAATATTCATGCCTCTTTCAAACTATTTTCTCTTTTATGAGATTTTATTTCAATAAGTTTGAAAGCTTTCACTATTGCAAATAATTCAGCATCAAAGACTTCAGATTCACAGCCTAAATTTCAGAAATCTGAGATAAAATTAATATTATCTTCAGTATAAGCAATGCCTGCACCTAATCTATTCAAATTCTCATTTTTTGAAGCAGACACTTATCTCAATATCTTGAGACCTGAAATATTAATGTATAGAGATCACTTGAATATGAATTAAGAGATAGTTATAATAGTGGTAACTGACATAGAAGCTTCTATATAATATATTGATAATTATATAATCTGAAGACTGAAAGAAGTTCACTAAGTGAAGAATTCTTGATGTGTAAGATTATCTAATAATTAATATTTAATTTCATCTGTAAGAATAAGTGTTCTCTTGCACTTCAGAGAATAATGTTATTATATTTAAGTATAAGAGTTGCAGAACATGAAATACAACCTTATTCTCAGACTTAATTAATTTCAAAGATTCAATCTGCAGATTCAATGACATACATCTTATATAAGATTGACTGATAGAAAGAAAACAGTTCATACAATTCTATCAACTGATATGAGAAGAACATTTCATATCTCTGATATAGAAGAGTTAAATCTACTTATGTATTAATAAGCAAAGAGAACAATTTATAAGGTCTCATCTGAAAGCATTCTGTATATTATACAAGATCTAAAAGAGAAGAAAATCAAGATAAAGAATATACAGAAGAACAAGTTTATGAAGAAACTTCTAGAGAAGTATAAGAAGATCTTCTAAGCAGATCTTTAACTGAAATTGCTACTGAAATGAGAAATTGTACATGAGATTGACACAGAGAATGTAAAATCAGTCAATTAAAATGCATACTTTCTGTCATAAATGCATCTTGAAGAACAGAAGTGTCAGATCACAGACCTTCTGAAATATAATCTTATACAACTCTTATCAAGCATGTGAGATTTCTAGACTGACTGTGTAACCGTGTCTGAAACCAGGACCAGAATTTTTGATAGTTTCATTACTAATTCAACTGATCCCATTACATGGTTTTAACATTAGATAGTAGTCTCATACTGTTCTAGTGAGACTTACTGTCTACTCTTGTCACATTTTTCAAATGAGACTATGATTTCCACTTCTCAATTTAAATTATTTTTATTGCTTTAAATGACTTTAAATCTTATTTGAGTGTTATCAAAAAGTGTTACTTTTTAAAAAATTAAAAACAGTCTAAAGAAAACCTTAAAATGAATAAAAATAGTAACTTTATGCCAAGAATGAAACTAAATGAGATTAAATGAGACCACTTTCTCATTTTTTTCAAGTCATGGTTTCATTTTGAGATTTGATATATAGTCACTTTGCATGTTTTTTTAATGACTAGTCCCAGCAGGATTCATGCCAAGAAATGTATGAGATCAGATCAAATGAGATTAAATGTGAAATTCATGATCCCAGCAGCCAGTCTAGAGATTTCTCAGTTCTATTTGTGAAAAAGATGAGAGAGGAATGATGATTATTATTATTATTATTATTCTTCCATTATACTCATATGCAAGCGGAGCTTATGATGAGTCCTTGTGTGATGTTAAATACAGGTCAAGTGTTGGTTATACAGGAGGAAATACAGGTGTTGAGACCACGCCAAGATAACAAGAACATAGGAAAATACAAAGGAGTGACAATTAGATACATGCGATAATAACTTCCCAGCCCAGGAACATAGAGCGATTCATTGGAGCGATTTGTACACCTCTGTATTTATTAGGAACCTGAGGTGCTTGAGTTCCGGATTTAATGTATCCCCTGCGGGTTTCGAACCCACGCGCCTTGGTTTCCCACGCCAAGGCGCTACCAGGTGGCCGCATTAACCATTCGGCCACCGGGGCGAGAGGAATGATGAATGTGTATTAATTATTAAGCACTCAACAAGCTTATGATGAAGAATAAATACTCACTGTTATGAATTCAACAACAGTTGAATACAGTCAGAAATACTTAATGTCTATCAAAGATTAATCTTCTCTCAGAATAATAATAGATTTGTATAGACAAACTATCAGTACTGTGAACTGCATTTAATATGTAATGAGAGAAGTTCAAATTCCTGACAATGTCATTCAGTCTGATAAATGTACTCATCATCTTTTAAACAATGATAAATACAATTCTTTGTAAACAGAATAAAACCTCATATCTTATATATCTGAATGATATCTTGATCTTTTCAAACTCATATAATAAATATCTGAAGTATCTTGATAAAGTGCTTATAACTCTGACAGAGTATAAGCTCTATGCTAAATTAACAAAGTATGTGTTTGAAATGAAAGAGTTGAAGTTCATTGAAGTTCATAGAATATGTAGTAAGTGATAACTATATACATCTCATTTCAGAGTAACTAAATGTTATAGCAAATTAGTCACAGCTGAGAAATGTATATTATATATAACAGATTCTTGAGCTGATCTTATACTATCACAGATTTATCAAAGATTTCATATGAATAGCTGCATCACTCTCAAATCTTTTAAGAGAAATAGATACAAATCTGTAAAAGAAGAAGTTTCATTCAATCATCTGAAATACTATGTGTGAAGAGGTCTTTCTCATACTGAGAGAGTATATAATAACATTCTCAGTGCTTATTCAATCAGTGTAACGTGGCGGAACCGAAGCGGTGACTAGTCGGCGGCGTCACATAGAGGTAGTTGTTTGGGAAGCCGTATAAGTGGGCTTGACTATCTTGCTTGAATAGTGAGCTTGTAGGCTACAGGGTTATTACAAGAATATCACAGATATGATACTTAGTATACTAAGAAGATTGTATAAGGCATGCAGTAACTCTTGTATATATTTCAGTAGAAGAAAAATAAATCACTGACTTCTTTAATGAGAAGCCAGCATCTAGCTATTCTATATAGATAATGAGTGAATACTCTTCTCTCATTTCATAAGCAAGAATAGCTGGAGTGATACCTCAGCAGTATCTTATTACTAAGAAAGAGTAATCTGCTGACCTTGTATAGAAGTGAGATTCTTATATTTATCAATTGAATCTTTCTATGATATATTCAAATGATGTTATAGAGTGATTGAAAACTGGTTCAGATGAGATGAAATTATCTGTATGAAAGTGATAGACTGTGTGAAATTATAACAGAGTCTTGATATGATTGAGAGTGTGATAATACTCTTCTCTTTAAGAATATAGTTCTATACTCTTAAGATTATTAGATTAGGAATTATCTTTATTGTATAGCAACAGTTATCAACTGATTAACAGTGTATATACTGTATAAAGAAATAGATAAGTTGTTCTGCTGACTGTGTAGATCTTTCTTTTCTCATCTTTATTCAAATTAAACACATGATAAGTGGGTTTCTTATATATTGATTTGAAATGTGAAAAATATAATTAATAAGTGACTTACAGATCTCTCAATATATTTCATTCTATATATGAAATTCTCTGCAAAAGTGATGTGTTTTAGAGACAAAGCTAATAGTAGTGATAGGATTTTTTTGAAAAGATTTTCTCTTCTTCTGTAACATATTTTTCTCTCTCTTTCCTCATCTGCAATAGTGAGTGCATGAGAGTATCATTCTTGAAAAGATAATAAGAGGCTATTCTGACATTTTTCTAGTGAGTAATAACATCTTCATGATGTGGCTGTAGCCTCCATAGCTGTCAAGAAAGCCAGGTTGAAGATGGTGATGTCAATGAGCCACAGAAGCACTGCTTTCATTGTCATATCTCCTCCTGCTTCTCTTGCAGCCACAGTGGTAGTTGCTGTGCCTTGCAGTGAGGTATCATCCCTTCTGCCGGCCAGTGTGTCTGCATTCAGTCTGTCCTCTGTCCCCCCCATCATCATTGCAACGCTGCCCCCTCCCCCAGCCAATACAGTGGTGTATGACCCTGTGTGGTCATTCAGAGAGAAACCTGGAGAGAGCTTGATTTCAGGAACAGTGACTCTGAGAAACTTAATCTGTAGTTTCTCTCTCACACATCTGAGCCCTGCTCAGAATACTGCTGAGTTGAGTCTGCAGAGTTCTGCAGTTTCTTCATCTTCTCTCTGTAAAGAGGCTTCAGTGTGATCTCTGACTGGCATTACTACTTATCTACACTGTGTCAAGCAGCTGAAGAAAGAGGGAATTTTATACACTTACTTCTTCTCTCACTCTTATTATTTTCATTACATCTGTAACAATAACTCCTGTCTCTCTATAAGTATTATCTCACAGAAAGATATTATATCAGCTCTGATAAGAAGTCTAGATGCTTAAGCAGTACAGAGTGAGAGTCTCAGAGCTTTAAGTATTGATAGATTCTATCAAGACTAAGAAGATCTCTCTTACTCATCTGTAAAAAGAGATGAAAGCATGAATCTCTGAGATGAAAAAACACCTCAGAATAGCTGATCTTAAGAAGAGATCAGCCAGTGCTGTTTTTGAAAGCACTACAGAGATTAATCACTGATTGAAGAGAATCTTACTTCAGTTAAAGCAGATAACTGAGATGCTTTATAAGTTAATAAGTTAATACTTTCAGTATCTCTTATACTCTTCTGCAGCATGCTTCTCTGTGATATCACAGTGCTAACTTCTTAACAGATAAAGATATCAATACTAGAGACTTCAATGATAAAGAATGAGTTTGATGAGAATGTGATTATTAATGAGTAGACTCTGAGATTCTCTCTTTTTACTTTTTCAGCAGGCTGTGATCTCATTAGAATAACAGCAGTCTGCAGATCAATAATATCAATCTTTTTTATTAATTTCAAATATTTCTTTCTTTTCTTATTAACTGCTTCAGGAATTTTACACTTGTGTAGTCTTATTAAACTTCTAAAAAACCCTTTTAAGAGAAATAGAAGAAGAGTGTTACAGAGCTTATAAGACATCAGCTCATCATTATAGATTATCTCTAAAAAACTCTTTGAAAAAAATGAGAA